GGAGCCACTCCCACCCCACAAGCTGCATCTCCATCCCACGCCCTCCCCCTGGGCAGCACCTGCCCCTGCCCCCTCCCTCACTGCAGTGGGCATTGATCTGCCCCCCCACGCCCCTTCCCTCCCCTCTCCCCTTCCACCACACTGGACTTACCACCTATATCTGATGCAGCTGTATTGGATATCGGATCACTATCAGCCAATATGCCTCCTTGGATATTGGTATCGGCCCCCAAAATCTCTGTTGGTGCACCCCTATTATGGAGACATCTCCAAACCCTGGGGAGAGGGTTTGAAATCTGAATCTGTATGTGAAGGGGCTCCCGCTCTTCTTTACATTAAAACAGTGTAAAAATTGCAACAAAATCTCAGAAGCAAAAAAAATTATGATAAAATAATAAATGACAATTAAGAATGGCTTGCAACAACATTACCAATAGAACTATGCATTATCACTGACTCAAGTCTGAATAAGATTGGGTGTTATATTTGGCCCTATTTTTAACAGTATTTTTCTATAGAAATTTTAACTCCAAATTTTGAAAACCAGGGCACCTTCACAGACCTCAAAACTCTTTCAAAGTAAAAGGCACCATGGGGTTGCTAGGTCATGGCCTGGGTGGTGCCCTTGCTTTCTGTGACCAATCAGGGAAGAGCAAGTAAAATTCCTTTGAGCAGTGGTGCTCATCCTCTTGCCTATGAAGCCATGTCATCTCGCCCATTGGGTCCTGATGGGTCTGGAAATTTGGCAGATGGGGAGCAGTAGCAACATAAATTGCTCCCAGAGTCATGGCAATTAACACTGCCACCATTGCCCTGCCACCAAATATTCAGACTTGTGGGGAGCCCCAAGGTCCAGATAACATGATCCAGCATGCCAGATTGTGCTGGCACATGGTCACTCTGGGGCTGGATCCAGCCCATGGGGTTGTGTTGCAGCCAGATAGAGCACACTGGGTTATACTGGTGTACCAGATTGCACCTGTGAGCCAACCCCACACACTAGCCCCTCACTGGATTAGGCCCATTGACAATCCCTGTGCATAGTATCTGTCTTGCCCTGTGCCACTCATCTGGCTCATGGAGATGTTGAGTACCAGTGCTCTTGAATGATCCTGATCTGCTTAGAAGCTGAAGTCCTCAACAAGCAAACAAGTGAGCAATGGGCATACGTGCATTTAATATCACGCACTATGGGGTCTGATCTCCAATTGCAAAAATCATGCCTCCCTGTCCTGCATGTCTGGCCTGGCAGAAGTGTGATCAGATCCCAATCACACCACTACTACTTGTCAGTACAGGGGAAGGCCAGGATAATCCAAAGTTCCAGCAAATTCAAAGTTGGGTGCCACAGCTCTACATGTGGTACTGACAAAGAGCTGATCATCAGCACCAACCTTAGACAGTCTCAGGTCCAGTTCACCTAGTGTTGTCAGAACAGACAATCATAAATCCCGGTTCAAGACTTGGAGCTCTTTGGCCAGGGCTAACAATCAGTTGACTGCCATAATCCCGTACCCAGCAGCTCTGGCTGGGCTGCTGAGGAGCCAGGCAGAAGCCTTGGATCCCCCATTCCTGGCAGCCTGACCAGAGGTTTTCAGGGAGTGTGGGGTCAAGAGCTGTTCTCTGACCCCAGAGTCCTGGTTTGCCAAGACAGCTGACTGCACATGCAAAGATGCTGGGATCTGGTGCACGGTGATGCTGGGATCAGGAGAGGCTTCTTGATCTCCTGGTCCCTATGCATTAGGATATCAGAAATCCATGTGTGCAGTTGGGCTTCACACATGGATTTTAAAGGTCCTAGAGCCTAGAATCAAGGGTCCCAGTGCACCAGGACCTGCAGCTTGCAGCTGTACTGCATGCCTGCTCTTTAAGGCTTTGGGGCTCAGTGAGCCTGACATTGGGGAGGTGCTCCCTGATGTTGGGCTTACAGCACCCACCACTATCTGCCTCCAGGGATCAGGCAGGGGTACCAGGTTCAGGACCTGGTGGTAAGGGTGCTTTATCTAAAGCTCATCAAAGCACAGGGATGCTGATACACAAGATGTGGAGGCTGGCTAGAGCTTGGTAATTACAGTGTGTCGGAGCAGCCTCCCAGCTCATGTATAGTCACCCACTAAGTCACCCACTAAGACTAAAGGTAACATGCAATTGTGGTAATACTCTAATGATGCAAACACCATGTGTAAAAGTGGAGGAAATATACAGACTACAGAACATGTACTGGCCTGTCCATATATGGGGGAAGGAACCATGTGCCATTGAGGACCCTGCTAAAGCTACAGATTGAGCAATAGTATGTTCCTGTTTTGGATTCAGATGTGAACATGGTGATGGGACATGAGAAGAAGAAGAATTTTAAATACTGTATAAGAAGTTAAGACAAAAATCTCCTTTGTGACCCTCATTGTGGACCTGTATTACACATTCTATATTGTATGTAGAATTCCCAGTGATACCATTGGAAAGAGTAGATCATAGAGACCGAATTCCCACCAATGAATAATTATAATATTTTTCAGTTGTCACCCTTTACAGGAGGATAAATCCTGTAGAACTAACTTTGGTGAAACTCTTATAAAGACATGGAACTATGCCCTCTAATGTAAAATACTTATCTAATTTCGGAAACTGTTCTTCCTCCATACATAGTAATGTGTAATGTTCTAGAACATGGGAAAGTTTTTGCTCTGTGGAGACTCATTAAGGGACAGCCTTCTGAGATTTGCAAAAAGTCACCAGGTGGTCTCCCCTCACTTCCCGGTGGGCTTCTGTAACAGAAAGTCCAGTAGGCACTCCCTCTCCTAATCAACCTAGGAAGAATTATGTCATAAAGTAGGAAGCAGAGGGAAAAGAAGTAGAGACATAGCTCCATGCTTTAGAGGAACAAAGAAAAGTGGCCAGGGTGAAGAATAAATTGCTAGTTTTAAAGTGATGTTGTAATAGTGATGGTCCAGGAATTATGCAAGAGGCAAAGATTTATTAGGGTTGTACCTTTTATGGAACTGACTGCATGGTTGGGATAGAATTAGACAAGCTTTCAAATGCAAGACATTCTTCTTCAGGTCTGAGGAGTGAAAAAATAAATTGCTGACAGTCTAAAGTGCTTTCCTGAAGTAAAGTCTATATATAGAACCCCACCCCTGGGGGGCTAGGAGGTGTGAAAAGAAAGAGGAAGAAAGCTCAGGGAGCCGAGTGGGTGAAAGGTATTAAGAGAGCTCACCAGACAGGGAAGGAAGAGCTTCAGTCAGGACATGGAGCTGACAAGACAGAGAAAGAGAGAAAATGCATTTTGGGAGAGAGATGTTGCTAGTTTCTTTACCAGGTAGAGTAGTGTGGACACATCCTATATCATTGCTGTCTAGCACAGTTACATTTACAGTGGCTGAGATTTTCTTCTAATCCATGTAGATCTCACACACAGCAATTAATTGTGGACACAATAGACTGAATCTCATCTATCACTTTTTCATTTATAGCAATAAAAATGTAAGCAAAAAATTGGGGCGGTAAGTAGAAGACTAAGAAGCTTCAGGGATCAGAGCCTTTCATATTTAGGTCACTGTTTCAAAAGCCTGCCTAGATCAGTAGTGACTGAAAGACATCCGTATGAAAAATGTGTTGGCAGTCTTGATTTATTTGTTTGTGCACAGTTTATCATACCCCTAATACCACCTCTGCCATTGACCCCATCTTTGTCAATCTCAGTAAAGAGGATGGCTATAGACACTGAATTAACCTTTCACCATGTCAGATTGAGGCACATTGGCTGGGCAGCAGAGAGAAAGTTACACTGCTGTGGCTCCCAATACTGAACCTGTTTTGTGGATAAAGAATGCAGTCTCTAGGGCTCTCATTCTGGCATCTCTTACAGTAATTTAATGCACTATAAAATAAAAGAGAGATGGTTAAGGTAGGATAGTCAATAGAGGCAAGTCCTGCTTTACTGCACAAAATACACTTGTCACTTACAAGTTACTTACATAAGTACATTGATTTAGGCCTTTAACGTCTCATAGTGACACATTAGCAGTTCACATTGTTAGAAATGAGCAGCACTCTGCAGTATAAACCACAAAGTGCTCCTATTATTTTTTCTATCAGGGAAAGAACAGAGAATGAAACCTGTATGGGGACTAGCTATAGGAAATTACCTATAGACTTTCATATTACAGCCATCATGTTATGTTCAAATGTCAAACTACTACATTACCACCTGGGGATCCCAAATTTTGCTGACCTTGGCTAAGTTAACAATTTACAGGCTACACCACTCTTGTAACTGTAAAAGCAAATATATAATTAATGTTGGTATGGGGACACTGGGGCTACTGTTTTCCATGTGTTTTACTGAGAGATATGTCATTTCTAGCAAAAATAAATAAATTCTAGGATAGATATGTGAACCTTATATCACCTATGATTGCACGTATTCTACTTATACTTGCTTCATTTAACAAAGTCTGTGGAAGAGCACTGTAGACAGCTTTTGTTTAAAATACCCATTTTTCTCACATGCAGGGTGCTGTTATTGCCTCCACTACACAAAAAAAAGAACCAAAGAAGAAGAATAAAGGAGTTGAAAATTGTGCATTAAAATAGTCTTTCATAACAAGGTAAATACAGCATATTTTTCAGTTGGTTTTATCTTGTCATATGTCAGGAAGAATAAACTATAATCTACATTCTCTTCCTACTACATTTCCCTGCCTAAAACTTGTTGAGTACTCAACTTGAGAACTTGTTTTTCTCCTTCAAAACATTCATTAAAACACAAATGACTTTCCCCCTTTTGATGTTGCCAAAGGAACTCTAACACCATGTAATTAAATCTCTGTTTTAAAGTACTTTTCTCAACAAACACAGGCTTCCAAGTCTAAGACTGCATAATAGATGTTATTAGCTATACATATAAATAGAAAATGTGTCTTGTAAAACATTATATTTGCTGAATGAGTTTGCCTTTTTCCAAAGTCATCTCCTTATTAATGACTCATGAGTTTCTTTTCTATTATTTAAAATAATGTAATTATAGGCTATTCTGGAATAATTTGACATGTCTTACGTTCATATCCGAACCTATTAATTAAATGGAACATAAGTATTTATAATGTGCCGTATGCCTCTATTATTCAAGCTAATCCCTTTAATCCTATTTAAATAGGAAGATATAAAAAGTTAATCCCAATAATATCTCCATAAACAAATATTTAATAAACCTATTTCAGTTTTTGTTCTCCCTTACCACCTGTCCTGAAAATGTTGCGTAGGTTGTGTATCTTGTTCTAAAAAAACCAAACAGAAAGGCCAAAAGAGCATGCAAAAATATTGTGTGTATGTGGGGCTGTATTACCAATAAAAACCCACCCACACACAGGGAACAGTACCTCATAGTACTTTTCTGGTACGTCTCTTCAAAAATTAAATATTATATGATGATTTTTTGGCTATTTTCTGGTAAATCTTTCTGGTGCCAGAGCCTTATACTTAATAAAACATTGCAGTACTCTAAGCTAAATAGTAAGTTTCAGGTATCTGCCATACATTGAAATCTGCGTTCAAATACCAAGTTATTACTTATAGGACTCTGGTTCTTGGTGTTGTCTGTAATTTGACCTGGCATTTCAAAACCTACAATAACATACTGAGGCCACGTTGAATGTGCAGTGTTGGATTTACATCATCATACTATGATCTGCACATATGGCAGGTCACCAGAAACCGGAAAAGAAGCAATTGTTTTTTCCCTGCTGTGAGCAATGGATTTGAACATGCCTCACTTTGTTTTCACGCTGGGCTTTCTCCGCTTTCCCCCTGAAACACAAGTGCATACCAAGCTTCTGAAATTCCTTTAGGCACAAGAAACCACACAGTGTCTCTGCAGACCAGCAGCTCAGCTTATATAGTTTCTGTCCAAGGACACCAGTATCTAAACCAGTCCTTCCTCCCAAACTGAAATTTTATTTTGTAAAGCAGAGATATGATTCATTACAGCTGGGAAATTGAAAGAATACTGCATCTGATGATCTGTAAATGCATAACTCTCATTTTCTCATAAGGTTGGTGGTAGTCTTACATAGAGTTAGATTATGGTTTCTGTGGGATGGTTTGGATAGGGATGATCCTGCCTCAGGCACAGGGTTGGACTAGATGGTCTCTGGAGGTCCTTTCCAACCCTACTTCTCTATGACTCTTGCAGAAACACAGGGTTTTGGGGGGTTTGTTTGCTTGTTTGAGTTTAGTAAGAAAAAAGCTTATGAGTAAACAACTTGTCTCCATAAGCAGCACTTCCTAAGAATTTCAGTCACATAATTGTATCAATAAAAAGTTGAAATAAACATGTAAACTGGAGCATTATTTTCATAACCCAATTTTTACAGAGTCAGTTTCTTACTCTCTGTCTAAAGTATATGCAAATTGTTGTGCCTACCTTTGAAAAGATAGGAAGAATCATCTGGGAAACTACTCATCAGTGAGCGTGTTTGTAGCCCTGTAGGGTCAGGCCAACTCTCAGGATCTCAATATTGCGCTGTTAGACAGGAGAGTGTGACACAATTGCACACACACAAAAATCAGTTAGGTGCATACACATGCACACTACCAGCTCAGGCGCATACACATTCAAACCAGCCTAGGCACATGCATACCTATCACCAATTCAAGCACATACACTATACACCCCAAAAGTTAAACACAGATCACTAATTTGTATATCATGCACACCATGGCATATATATATGTGTGTGTGTGTGTGTGTGTATACACACACACACACACACTAGCAACTCAGATAAACACACGTTCAAAATAACTAGTTTAGGTTCATGCACACCTATCACCAGTTTAAGCCCATACACACTACACACACCAAATTTAGACAGAATCAGTTACCAGTTACCAACACCTGCACATCCAATACACATACATGGATTGCTAATTCATATACCACACACACACAGTGATATCTATGTGTGTATATATATATATGTGTGTGTGTGTGTGTGTGTGTGTTCACTAATTCACACTCATACCACCCACCTACACATACACACAAGTGAGTTCCTAAGTTGGGTGTTGTGATATGTATGTATGTATGTGCTTGGTGTACTTGGGATACCTGGGGAAAGGTTAAGGTAAGAAAGTAGAAGTGTAGGGAGTGAAAGTCACTGGGACCAGGATCAGAACCAGTAGACTAGAGGGGCATGGACTGAAGAACTGAGGCTCGAGGGTAACTTTAGGTTAATTGATCTTAATTGATTAAAAGACAATACCCAAAGCCTGCAGAATAGGGAAGCATGCTGGTACAGAGGTTGGGACTAGAACCAGAACTACGGGGAAACTGAAAAGGTAGGTGGGGAGAGGGGAAAATGGGACTAAGGGAGAGGTGGGTGTTAAAGAGGGGCTCTGGATGTGAGGAGCCAGAGGATGGCTCCAGGGCAGCTAGAGCAGTTGCAGGGAATAGTAGTAGGTGCTGGGAGCTGGAGAAAGGCTCCAGCTGCTGGAGAAAACTGCAGGACAGCCACGAGGAGCTGGGAAACTGCGGGGCGGGGGCTGACTACAGAAGCTGTGGGGGAAGCCTGAAAACAGAGACGGACAGCAGAAAATCACAGGAAAAGCAGCAGGAGAGACTGAAGGGCGGCAGGGGCAATGGGAAAGCCGAGAAAGACAGCAAAAAGTCACAGGGAAAAGGCAGTAGGAGTGTGGGAAGCAGGGGGACAGCAGAAAATCACAGGAAAAGCAGCAGGAGAGACTGAAAGGTGGCAGGGGCAACGGGAAAGCAGAGAAGGGCAGCAGAGAGTCGCAGGGAAAAGGAGTAGGAATTGAAAGGAGATTGGGAAACTAGTGGAGAGGGGTACGGGCTGGAGCTGAGAGTGAGAGAGAGAGAGAGAGACCCACCCACCCACACACACATGCACACATACACACAAACAATGGCAACAGGGGTTAGAGAGGCTTGGTGCAGGGCTGAAATCCACTGAAGTCCAGGAGGACTTCAATACAAACCTAATAATAATACAATATACAACAGTGGATATACAAAACCAAAAACTTGCTACCAAAATAAAAATGTTCAGAGCTTATCCTAAGTCTGAGCTCACTTATACTTATCTATAGGGAATAGAGAGGGAGAGAAAAGTTAGAAACGGTTGGGGAAGGGGAGGGAATGCATTTTAAAATAAATTAAAAAAAAAGAAAAAATGGGGGTTTTGCTACATGTCTATATGCACGTATTTACTGCACAGTAACTGAAATTACTGCGCTGTATGGGCGCACATCTATACATGCATGCCTGTACTGTGCAGTAAATACGGTGACTTATGCCGACTTGAGCACCCAATTAGTTAGTAATTTATGCCTGATTAGTTACAGCACAGTAACACATGTGTAGATGCATTACTGCACAGTAACACTGGATTTGTGGACTGGCTTGGGACTAATCTTAGTCCTAAACCAGTCCACACATAGCATTAATATGCTTTAATGTCTGCACGTGTAGACACTGGCCTATTCCTGCTTTCTGCACAGTAGCTTACTGCACAGTAAATTTAAGCCAGCGTAAATGCACATGTAGACATGCCCAGTGATTTGTTCAGTGGCAGATGTATTAGATGAAATAGTAATTGAAGTGAAAGTTATAGAACTTCAGATGACATAAATTGCGACAAATCAGCACAGCTCCATGAAAGACATCTGTGTTTCTCCAAACTATTAAAATTATTTGGCGATAATAAATATGGTATATTAGAGAGAATGTGAAAAATTATAATTTATTTGGATTTGGCCTTTATCAGAATATCTCAAAAGAGGCTATAAGGAAATTAAATACATATGTAGTGAGAGAAGCATCTCATGTAATAAAAATCAATAAAGGATGGTAATCAAAGAGTAACAATAAATGGACAGGTTTTATATAACAAATTGTTAAAATTAGGCACTGTAAGAATCCATGATAGATCTGGCTTTGTTCAATATATTGATTAATGGTCTGGGTGACGGGGTGTACAGTGTAGAAGTAAATTTTGTAAATGGTATAATTATTTAGGTGGGTCAAGATTAAAGGAGACTGAGGAATATGAGAGGAATCAAATACGCCTTAACTTGGTAACAGAATGACAAATGTAATTCAGTGTTGACAAATGCAAAATAAAGCACCCAGGAAGGAATTACACCTGCACACTGGAAGGGTCTAAATTAAAAGTGGCCACTCAGGGGAAAAAGAACATGTGGGCTTCATTGTGGATTTAGCATGAAAATATTCTATATGCAGTGGGACTCTGAAAAGCAAGCAGTATGTTAAGACATATGTAACAGTTATGAATTGGTAATGAAAATATTATGCAGTTTCATAGTATGGTAGTTTCACTTGAATGCCATGCTGAGTTCTTGATACTACATCTCAAAATAGCTATAGGATAAATAGGAAACATTTCAGAGATGGAAGACAAAAATGTTTAGAATCAAGAAATATTCTCCATAAAGAGAATGTATTAATATCAGGACTGAAGATGAGGAAATTGGATGAGAGACAGATATACAAAAAATGGACAATGCTGGCCATGTCTACACAAAACGTTGACTGTGCAGTTGTTACTGCACAGTCATTTAGTATTTGCATACCCAAGTACTAAATGACAGTGCAGTAACCAGCATTACTGCACAGTAGTATCTCTACATGGCTTCCTGGTGATCCTGACTACTGAATAGCTCATTACTACTGTGCAGTAACATCACTTCAGTTTGCATCCTGCAATGCTACTGCACAGTAGTTATGAGCTACTGAGCAGTAAATGTCTTGTGTAGATGCAGTCACA